CGGGATGGGGAATACATGTAAATCCATGGCTGATTCATGTCAATGTATGACAAAAACCACTACAATATTGTAAAGTAATTAGCCTCCAACTAATAAAAATAAATGGAAAAAAATACTATGAAAACACCAACAGTTAAAATGAAGGATGAAAACAAAAGGATTAAAAAATTAAAATTTGACTTAAGAAAAAGAAAATTATGGGAAAGTTAATGGAAATGTTGTTTAGCCCCATAGAGAGTTTTGTGCTAAATAGTAAGCATTTTATAGGTTGATGGAGTTGATTTTTTGCTATAGCTAATTAAATTTTAAAAACTAAAGTTCCCTCTCTCATACACACAAATATACATACACTGATATATGCATATATGTTTGCATTCAGACATGGTAAAAGAAGGCACAGTTGATCTTTCTGCATGTCTTTCAATGGACCCTGTTCTTTCTCAAATATGAATTTTTCTCAAGCTATCAGTATTATTTCTGTCTGGACTTTCCTCACTCTATACATGGATAAGTTTCAGTCATCATACAGGTCTCAGTTTAGGTGTATTTTCCTCTGAAATTCTCCCAAACTCTCTATGATGGGCTGGGTTTAGGGCCTTTCCTCTGAGTCTGCATAGTCAGCTATGCCTCTCTCTCAACTCTGGGTATGCAACAGTGATGAAGTCACAGTTCCTACCGTCAAGGGGCTTACACTCCAGTAGGGAGATACGGAAGCATAAAAGCACAGTGAAGTAATTATAGCCATGGTAGTGGAAAAAAAAATAGTGAATGCAAGAGAGGCTGATTACCTGGGGGTTAAATTTAAGGAACTACAATCCTCCCTTGGTAGTGAAGGGGGACTGGTTCCAGCCCCTCCCCTGCTTCCCCAATACCAAAATCCTCAAATGGTCAAATCCCTTACATAAAATAGTGTTGCACATTTGGCCCTCTGGATCTGCCTTTGATGGGAGTTGGCTAAATCCTCAGTGTGGAACCCACAGATATGGAGGGTCCACTGTGAATGTGGCAGACGGCTCAAAAGATGAGGGGCTGTGGATGAGCTGACTCACTGGAGAGTAAAAGAACACTGGTGGTGAAACAAAATGGAATGTCAGACCAACTGGTCAAACAGCCTCTCCAGTTGCTTCTTTGAGTTAAGGATTATCTGTCTATTGCCAGGGAGGAAAAGGAGTGCCTAGAATAGCCGTGGCTTACAGAGTTAAGGGAACTGTCCTGGTGGCTCAGATGGTAAAGAATCTGCCTGCAATGGAGAAGACCCTGGGTCAGGAAGATCCCCCAGAGAAGGGAATGGCAACCCACTCCAGGATTCTTGTCTGGAGAATCCTATGGACAGAGAAGCCTGGTGGGCTACAGTCCACACAGTCACAAAGAGTCAGACACAACTAAGCAACTAACACTTCACTTTACAGAGTTATGAGTGCACATCCATTCACAATAGATGATAATATAACCAAGGTCAGAATAATAATTGGAAAGGCACAGAATTATTAATGAAGTTTCTTCAACTGGGTAATGATGCAGTGGTGTTGTTAAGTTACTAAGTTGTGTCCAGCTCTTTTGTGACTCCATGGACTGTAGCCCACCAGGCTACTCTGTCCGTGGAACTTCCCAGGCAAGAACTGGAGTGGGTTGCCATTTCTTTCTCTAGGGGATCTTCCCGGCCCAGGGATTGAACCCGTATCTCCTGCATTGGCAGGTGGATTCTTTACCACTGAGCTACCTGGGAAATCCAACGATGCAGTGCTGAACACAGTCAAATATTTTCTTTTTTATGAGATTTTGAATGTGCAGCTATGGTTGAAATATAGAGGCCTGGAGAAAAACATGCCCTTCCTGATTCATGTAACCTACCTCCTTTTCTCCAGAGGAGGCAGGTAGATAATAATCTGACATTCACAAAATAGTCTGGGGATAGCTTTCATTTTTTATTTCAAGAGCTCAGAAGTAGAGTTGAAGCAGTAGATAGGGGATAAAACAGGATATGTTCCTGTATCTGTCTATATGGTGGATTGAGATGAAAAGAATCATTAAAAATAAATCACAAAGGATGGCAGGTTAGCAAACCCTGATTGAAAACGTCAGGGAGGCAAAGACTGGCTGGTGACTGGCAGCAATACTGCCCGTACCACTCACCTGGCACTATCTGTGACATCTCTTTTTCTAGTTAACCTTTTGTGTGTCTCTGGAAGGTTTTTAGGGGCAATGACTGAAATTTTAAATTGTTCACAGTGTCCAGCCAAATCCAATCAACAAAAACTATGTCCAGTTGGTATTTATTGAACAAACGAATAAAACAGAAAAAAAAAAAAAAGAGAAGAGAGAGAAAGGAAGAATAAGTTTTCTTTTCTCAAAATGGACTTTCAATTGTATTTTCAAAAACTGACTCGTAGGAGAGTAAAATTCCAATTGTATTAGTTTCCGATTAATTATTTGAAAAGAGTGAATCCACTTTATATTTTAAAAATAATCTCAGACCATGCATTTTTAAAAAATTTATACTTATATATTTATTCCAGTGGGATGAAACTCCTAGATCTAGAATTACTGTTTCAAAAGGAACACACATTTATAAAGTGGACAGGTCATGCCACATTGCCACCCCAAACCAGAGGAGACAGATCAACATGGGTTATGATGACCAGCCTCCTGTTTTCCACACTGATACACGTATGGCATATTAACCAGGTAAGATTTTAATCCATCTGAGAGTCAAGATCTGTAATAATTTCTGATCAATGGAATTAAGAACCTAACATGCTTTCTTTATTCGAGTTCTTTGAACACAACACATCTGTTGGTATGCACCACCTATTTCCCCGACTGCTTTGCATCATAGCACTGTTCTTAAACGATGTATTTATTCATACGCATTGTTACTTTCTGCCAGTTGTCTATTACATCTTTCTGGCACCTTCTGCCATGCCCAAGTTGATCTTTGTGTGGGCTGGCTCACTGTCTTCATGTCTCCCAGGGCTCCATGCCCCACTCAGTAAAGTCTTTCTCCTTTCTGTGTTTACCTCTACTATATTTCATAATTAGAGCTGCTAAATACAAATGTCTCACATTTCTTTGTAAGGTCCAGTTATCCTTCCTTTTGGAGAGTGGATAACTGATTGTTAAAACATTTCCCCAATGATGAAAAACTAATATTACACGCTGCTGTTTAGTTGCTAAGTCGTATCTGATTCTTTGGAACCCCATGGACTGCAGCACCCAGGGTCCTCTGTCCGGGGGATTCTCCAGGCAAGGATACTGGAGTGGGTTGCCATTTCCTTCTCCACAGACCATGCATTTTAAATCAAAATCTTGTCTTATGAAGCAGAAGGTGAAATATACGCAAACTACACTGATGTCACCTTTTGGTCTATTCACCCCCTTTTCGGTTAATTAACTCATAAAAGAATCATCATTAGTTACACAATAGGTATTAATTCTCACTTCTAAGTAAAATGTGTACCTTAATGAGGAAAAGAAAGAAAAACCCCTTGGTGTGAAATAATGGAAAACTTGGAAAATAA